TTCTGTTTTTTTTTTTTTTATTTTCTTCCTACTTCTCTCCATTCATACAAAAAAACAAAAGCAGTAGAAATATCTTAAAAAATATACATGAAAAAAGTAAACTATTTGAGTAAAAACAAAACATCAGGATGAGGATATATTAGATAGGGTATTGATTCAGCTGCTGTAAGAAGGACCAAGATAACATGGGCTTAAAATTGAAAGTTGAGTTTTCACTCACATGAAGGTTCAACGAGCTGGGAGTCCAGTGGGGACTGGATTGACAATCTTCTAGGGCTGCTTCTATAGTTTTGCTGTCTCCCCTAAGACATTGCCCTCTTCCACAAGGTCAAGGTTGGCTGATCAGCACTATGTCTAAGTTATAGCCCCTCAGGACAGAAAAGAAGTGGAGAGCAAAGAGTTTCCTGTTGAGGCCACGACCTGGAAGTTGTACACATCACTCCTGTTCGCATGCAATTAGTCATTTAGTGAAAGCAGACTGAGAAATATTGTCTCAAACTGGACATCCATGTGCCCAAATAAAACTCAGAGAATTTTATTAATAAAAGAAGAAAGAGAGAATGGATATTGGCAGAAAATTAGCAGATACATTTATAGGTAAAGTTCTATTACAATAAATGGTATAGACCACCAAAAAGGTGATAAGGTCAGCAAGTGCTAAAGCTAGTTAGTTGCTAAAGTGGAATATTATATTTCACCTGCAGTTTCCTGATAACCAAAAAATAAATAAATAAATAAATAAATAAATAAATAAATAAATACAGTCTATCACATATTTATCAGCATCCCTATAATTTATGTATGTTTCTTAAGAGAAGCAAAGCTTTTCTTAGACTAAGTTCTAAAAGAAATCTCTCACGCTGAATTCAAAGAGGCGACACCAGGAAATGTCAGGGCAGTATCTGTAAACATATCCCTGAAAAAGAAGCGGCAGTTTGTTTTATGTGCAGATACTTTTCATACACTCTTTATTGAAAGCCAATGGCATGCGTCAAAAACTCAGCTTCACAAAAGCAAATTTATTGCAGGTTGGGGCGGGAAGAACAGGTAAACGTTTACTAAATGCATACCTGTTATGTAGGCAGTAATTGCTTAAGGATGGCTCCCCTCCCACACCTAAAATCTATATGGAAGACGGGTCAAAATACATGAAGTAAGTAATAATAATACTGACTACTTAACCTATTAGGAGGTGCCACGATGACTGGGTGAATGTGTTGGCACCCCATACCCTCTTCTCTATGATGGTGCTCCCTGGAGTTACGCAGCACACATCAGTTTATAGCAATCTGCTGTCATATCAGGCATTGCATAGATATTTTACAGTTTGCATATGTTGTATAATTTTATCCACACAGTGACTTGAGACACATTATCTATTTCATTGATAAGTGGCTGAGGCTCAGAGTGGTCAAGTAACTTACCCAAAGGCATGCAACTGAACACAGCTGTAGAATTTGAACCTTGCTTCCTTTTATTATAAATCTGTTTTTTGTTTGTTTACCTGCAATTTGACACTGTACTACACAGCATATATATCGTTCAAATTCCACTGCTAAATTTCACTACACAGCTAAACAGTATCGGTCTGATTACTACGGCAGTGGCAGTTCAGTAAAGGAGAAATCTTTGTGGATTGAATAGTCAGCAGATGTTAGCTGCTGTAAGTTGGAAAGATTTCTCAGAGTGAAGAGGTGTAGAGATGGCACTCAAGTAAAGAGAGATATTGTAAGTGAAGGCCACGATGTAGAAATGAGATTGATTTTATTGATGAAGAATTGGCATGTTGCCTACACTAGAAAGGATTGGAGTTAGATACCATTAAAAGGAAAACTGACAAAATCTGAGTTTTCCAGTGATATTTTAGAGTGGCATAAGAATCAGATTTGTTTGTAAGAAGTACGAGTTGATGGTGACTTGGTCTCATGTAGAAGCTTTGGGGATACGAGAGAAAAGGATCAATCCAAGCGATACATAGCAGGTAAAAAATATATAGCTCTATGATGGATTGGTTATGGTGGATGAAGAAGGTGTTATACCTTGTTTTTTAACAAAAATATGGTTTGTGATAAACTGGAGAGTGTTATGTTGGGAGTAGGATTAGAAGCATAAAAGGAACAGGGTTTTTCCCAAAATGTTGGGGATTCTCAAAAACATGAACCTGCCGAGTAAAAAATTTCTTACACTTTCTCAGAAGTAACTGACAGCCCAGAAAGCTTTTAAAGCAGAGATGGACAGGCTAATGGGCAGTGATTTTCGATGATAAAAATAACATCAATGAATTGTGGGAAGCTCTTCTATGTACATTATTGTTGTTTGAGCCTCGAAATAGCTGTATGTACTGAAGAATCCTACCATCTGCTTCTTTCTCCAGGAGATTAAGAATTTGCTTAAGGTCACTTAGCTGGAAGTGGCAGACTAGGTCCAGTCCTATGGAATGCTGTCTCATTTATTTTTCTTTTTAATTTTAGAAGTAAAGAGAAAATTATAGTCAACTAGAATTTAAACACCTTCAAAGGTATCCTTTTCAGCATCCCATATTGACCATAAACACATTTAGAATAATTGACTGCCTTTCTCACTAAGCAAGACAAGCAAGGTTAGCATGAAAATATTTCAAGAATATTTTTAATTTGAACAAAATGTAGATACCTAACACAATAATAGCCTTTCTAGGTTACATAAGGTTAGCTCCATTTATGTATCAGATGCATGTCAACAGAAACTATAGCATTTGTGAATGTATATTTTTAATTTTCATGTATTTACTTTGAAGCTATTTTTAGTAGCATATTTTTCTTCCAGATGAAGGCTTCAAACACCCCTCTTTTTTTGTAAAATAAAATGTATCCATAGAAACTAAAATTTCAAAGAGGCTGGCTTTCCTTTATTTTGACTATTAAAGTTTTAGGTTTTAAAAATAGAAACAAGTTGATTTCTGCAGTTTCTATAGCCAGGCTTCCCCAATCATAATTGATTTTCTGCCCAGCTGTACAGGCCACAGATGTTTTTTAGCACATGTATGAGACAAGTTTCAGACCTTACTGGAGAGTGAATCCTAAGCAGGCATTTAATCTCCTTGGGGCAGGATGTGTGGGTGATCCAGACATAAAACTATGCACTGTTTGGAGAAACATTCTTATCCTAAATTGTCCTTGGGACCCTTTTTAATTGTAGATTCTTTCTCTGTTGTAGAGTAATTCCATAATTGGGTTTATTCTGTGTATTAGGGATGTTTCCTCCATATA